GCCTAAAAATACTGTGCAAGGCGAAGCCGGTGTTGGTCCGGCTAAGGGTTATAATCAAAAGCGCGGCCGAAGGCCGCCAACTTTCAAAGGAGCTTTGCCTAAAAATACTGTGCAAGGCGAAGCAGGTGTTGGTCCGGCTAAGGGTTACAATCAAAAGCGCGGCCGAAGGCCGCCAACTTTCAAAAGGAGCTTTGCCTAAAAATACTGTGCAAGGCGAAGCAGGTGTTGGTCCGGCTAAGGGTTACAATCAAAAGCGCGGCCGAAGGCCGCTAACTTACAAAGGAGTTTCGCCTAAAAATAAACAGGGAAGACCCGTTCTTAAAAATTATAGAAGCGGTCAAATATACATATAAAGTATAAAAATTTTACTATAGTTGTTTTATTTAGAATTTCTTTTTTATATGTGGCAACACCAAAATTCACAGTAATGACACTTTGTACAAAATAATAGGGTAAAAATTCGATTTTTTTGCTATTTTAAATGTAAATATCTCGAAAACTAAAGGTCTCCGGTAGGTTTGGTTTTCGGTTTCTGAGAGAGGGTAGAACCCCCTACCACCCCTTATAATTCGTTTTTTCCAAATCCTGGAACCATAATGGAAAACTTTCCCGAGAAAAGAAAAGTAGCTTTAGAGTTTAGGCGTTTTCCTCGTTCCACCCATTTAAAATCTTTTTACGAAAGCCTGCGGCTGAAAACTAAAATTCTCCCAATTGTATAATTATGTATGAAGCTTAATTTAAACTAGCATATTATATATATAATTGGCGCTTTGTAACTGCTGAAGCGATGTTTTCGACAGAGGAAAATTCTGTTAACGGAGCAAGTTGAGTAGAATGGGCGCTTCTCATCTTGTAGCAGCAGCACATCTCAAAAATATTCAACAAAACTTTGCGAGACACAACTGCATTTAGATATTAATAACATTATGATTCAAAAGTAATTTTTTAATTTTACTTAGATGTCTTTATACTTCAAAGGAGCTGCGATTATGACGGAGGCGTTCGACTTAAATATTTTAAAGCCTGCTTCCGCTTAGAGCGGTACTGTGTGGCGATATATGTAGAAAATCGTTTCTGAAAGGGACCCCTATCATAGTACTTCGTCTTTTAAGGTAATATGTTCAGTTCAAGAGAGTTACAGCCTTCTCCGAACTCATTTCGGCGGATTCATTCGCACCTAAGAGAAGTTTTGTTTCCATCTCCACCAGGCACGCCTACATAAGTATATCAATATATTATTTATTCAGAAAAATGTACTTTGTTGTAACTTGTGGCTCCGATTTTAGAATTTGTCGTATATATTTAAAGTTTTCAAGCCGGCTAAGGTAGGACTAAAAGGATTACGTTTAGAGTTTCGTTTGGAGGAAGGTAGTCTAGGTATATTTCCGATATTTATATAACCAATATATGTAAATATATATGTATGTGTACATTTATTTATCAGCATAATTGTGTTTGATTAAACTTTTTTCATTTATATTTTTGCAGGTGGGTCGCATAGCTGCTGATCATCCATTGGTCGGAGGCCATAAAGGACCCGTACTCGATATTGCCTGGTGTCCACACAATGATAATGTCATCGCTTCCGGATCTGAAGATTGTGTAGTTAAGGTTTGGCAAATTCCCGATGGCGGTCTTTCACGCACACTTACCGAACCAGTGGTCGATTTGGTGTTCCATCAACGACGTGTCGGTCTTGTGCTTTGGCATCCATCAGCGTTGAATGTGTTGCTAACAGCAGGCTCTGATAATCAGGTGAGGGAGATGGTTAATAAAATCAGATAGTAAACTAATCTGAACTTTATATGGATGGCTATCTGGTTTCACACCTTTTGGGGTATCCATCTCTTAAAAATTTAAAACTTATAATACAAACAATATTGTTTCTTTAACAGGTTGTTATTTGGAATGTGGGTACAGGGGAAATACTTGTTCACATAGACTCCCATCCGGATGTTGTTTATAGTGCATGCTTTAATTGGGATGGTTCAAAGTTGGTTACCACCTGTAAGGATAAAAAGATTCGTATCTATGACCCACGTAGTGGTGAAATAGAAAGCGAAGCCCTCTGTCATGAGGGATCGAAAGCAACACGGGCCATTTTTTTGCGTCATGGTCTTATTTTTACCACCGGATTTAATCGCTCATCAGAACGTCAGTACTCGTTGCGGGCACCCGACGCTCTCAATGAACCGATTGTTATGGTAGAGTTGGACACGTCGAACGGCGTGATGTTTCCACTTTACGATGCTGATACGAATTTGATTTACCTGTGCGGTAAGGGTGATTCAGTCATACGATATTTTGAGGTAAATGAGTATATATATATATATAAATCTATATACATATATAAATATATATACATATATAAATATACTCTATTCAATACTTATTTCTGTAGATAACTCCAGAGCCGCCTTTCGTTCACTACATTAATACATTTCAAACGCCAGACCCTCAACGTGGTATTGGGTTGATGCCAAAGCGTGGCTGTGATGTCACAACCTGCGAAATTGCAAAATTTTACCGGCTAAACAATAACGGCTTATGTCAAGTGATCTCAATGACAGTGCCGCGTAAATCGGATCTATTCCAAGAAGATTTATATCCGGACACTTTAGCTGAGGATGCGGCACAAACAGCTGAAGAATGGATTGCTGGCAATGATGCCGAGCCGTTAACCTTTTCGCTTAAAGTAAGTGTATTAGATATAGGCTGGGTTAATGAAAGTTAAAATTGGAATACACCAACGGGAAGAAAAAACACAAATAGTCCATTAACGGTTAGACTTTGAAGCAAATATTAAGGTGGTTTCTCAAAGACTTTGATATTGAGCTTTTCGATTGACCTTGATTAAAATACTTTTTTCTATATCCGAAATCAAGGCGACAATAATATTTTTGGCGGAGGAGGAAAAGAAAAATGCCTACCGCATCATCATTGTGTAGTCACATCTTTAACTACTTTTGTCTCACTTAATTTTAACGAATGATAATAAAAAACAGAAAATTCAAATTTTAAAGTAATTTACTTGAATGAAATGAAAATCAGCAGTGAGAGATAATGTAAACCATATTTTTCGAATTGTTTTTCGGTGCAAATTATTCGAAAAGTATGCGAAGAGATACTGGAAACTCGAATATCCAATAATTGACCATCAATGATACAGATCGTAGAACATAGTAACACTTTTATTGAATTTCAATTTCAATTATCCCTTACACCGAATTTCAAGTAAATGTAATCATAAAAAAGTTAAGTTTTTTTTTCTCCGAACAAATACGAACCGATGGAATAATGAATTACCTTTATTTCTCCCCTTGGCTGCGGCAACAATAAAATATTCGGTCCAAAATATAAAAATTTGTATTCTAATTTTTAACTTTTGAAACTTGTTTGCATTTTGGTTTTGTTATTGAATGTCATTTAAGAAATCGCAAATTAAATTACAATTGTTGATATTTGCTCAAGCTTTCAAGCATTTTGTTAAAATTATTTGAAGCTTATAATTGTTTTGTGCTAGCTCAAACGCGCTTTTATTTATGCACACGAAATCAGCGAGGAAGCCTTTTAAAGCCTTAAATGCAATAATAGAAGCAATTGCGAGATGGGAATTTTTAGAAAAAAAATATAGACTAAAATTCATTTAGCAAGGCCACGCTTCTCAAATGTTGCGTTAATAATATCCTATTTTAATTCATACATCTTAGATCATCAAAAATGGTATAACAAAAATTAAAAATTTGGTATTACTATTTTGGAAATTATTTAAGGAGTTTACAAAATTTCAATAATCGACATGACCGCCATATTTGTCGAGTTGTAATGAATATGCAAATTTACTTTTTTTATGTAAACATGTATTTGAATTCAGTTGAAAATGAAATAACCCACTAATCGTGCCTCAAGAAATCAAATAAATACATTCACATCATCAATACATATAATTAATACATGTATCCAACTCCATACAAAAATTTTTATGCGCATGTTCATCCATCATTTATACATAGACGTATATGTATGAATGTGCATTGTTCAATTCTACCGCTAACACGCACGTTGTATGGCGTTGTTGTGTTCTTTGTTAATTGCCGGCTTCTCCGCTCACTCAGTGAGCGGGACAGTATTACTAAATCGCCTAAATAGGATCGTGTCTCTATTGTACAGGGTGGTTACGTATCACAATCGGCCAGCAAGTCACTGTCTGTGACAAAGAAAGCAAATATCCTCAACAAGGCCTCGGCAGGCACGTCAAAGAGTGCGAGCAGCGCAACGCTTGGCGGCAATCATGCTACATCGAATAACAACAACACGACGAGCGGGTCTGGCATAGTGAGTGGAGTGAGTGTAAGTACAACAAAATAGGAAAATAAAATAAAAGAAATTATTAATATACAAATTTTCCATTTAAAGGAAAAGGATCTGCGTGATATCACTGATGAGATACGTAAATTAAAAGCAATTATCGTGAAGCATGAGAATCGTATACGTGCGTTGGAGGCGGCTGTGCGTGCCCACGATGGTGATGAGAATGATTCACGACCAGCGGTAGCGTCTGCAGGCAATGGAAATGCCTCGTCCAAATCGGCCGCAGATAGTGGCACACAAAAGGAGAGCAACGACAATAGCAGTGCCAACAATCAGAGCCATCCAACCACCTCGAACGATGATGAATTTAATTAAACTTATACATATTAGAAATATTTTTAATTAAATATGCTTCGTGACGCTTTATCGATTCAAAATACGTTTCGTTGTATTAATTTTAAAGCTATCTTTATCGATTTATTAATTTATTTTTTAAATAATACATAATACTTATATAACTTTTCCACCATTTTAATTTTATGAAAAACTGATTTACACATTTTGATTATTACATGTTTAAAATAAAATTATAAATTTTAGTATATATGTTGTTTGTAAATTGGCGATATATGCATTGATATAAGTATAAATGTGCTTATTTAGATCTAATGCAAAATAGTAAATTCATTTTTTCAAAACAGAGATTTGTAAAAAGGGAGATTTGCAAGGAAATCGCAAAAAGTTATTTGTATCTAAAACAACTAAAAATAAAACAAAGAAAAAATTTGTAAATTACCATTTTAAAACAATAATTATAAAGTCTATGCTTATTTCTAATTTACACATACACAAACAACTCAATTCATTTATGTTAGCATGCAGGCATTAAAAAATAACTAATCATTTGAATATGCATACCACGTGCAGCGCTGTTGGAAGGAATTGAACTCACATTACGGTGGACTTTTTGTTTTGTACAATAAAAAATCTTCGCTTTATTTAATAATACAGCAGGCGACTTTATTACCAGATGATAGCACTAGCACAACAACAAAGAATGTCTATGTATATTGTATTTGTTTATAGGTTTGGAGTAACGTAGATAGTGGAAACTTTGTTAGAGTTTTGTAAATCAAGGACGTAGTTTTTAATATAAAAATTAAATCAGCCCAAGTGCTATAACCGGGCAGTTATTAAGCCATAGTGGTATGTATATAATAAAGTTCAAGAATTCGTCATTTATCATTGCTCGAAAATTTCCGAGCACGAGCTCAAGAACCCTCTTCTATAATTTTAAATTCGCCTTGATGCAAAGTGTAAAACCCATTGAAATACTAAAAGAAATTCAAAAAAAAAATAAATTTGGAAATTTTCAAGCAAAGATTTGAGCTCTTCGCTCTACTTGATACCCGGATATCTAAAGCTGTAGTATATAATCGAGTATTGGCTAAATAAGTTTTTAGAATTTCGGCTTAATTTTGCAAAACGTGCATTTAGTCTGGAAAAGTGTGAAAATGTAAAAATATGAAGGTCATATTTAAAATTAAACGAATTGCGAAATAGAAGATTACTTCTACCTTCCCTTTGAACAGGTTTTTCATATTGATGTTATATAAATAAAAAAATAATCTTGCTTCACTAGTCTGATTGGGCTACCATTGCGTTTTGTTAATTTTATACAATAATTTAAAATATGTAATATGTATTAGCCTTCTTAATGTTGTTGATTATATTTAGACTGACTCCTTATCGTGCACCTATATTCAAATGTATGAACTTTACCTTTTATTGTACATTTTCACTTATAGTAGTACTTGTGTTTTTCAACTGCCGTCGCTGTTTTTTAAATTAATGTAAAATAACTAAAAATAAAAATACGTGTTTACACTAACTATTTTTGCTCCTTGCAAATATAAAATTAATATTTTTTTGGCAAAATGTGCTGACTTTCCCGACTGTATAAAAAAATGAAAGATTCTATTTGGGAAACGTATAAATATAATTGAAACCGAGAGTTATTGAGATATATGTATGTAAACACTCGTCGGTGTAATACTTTGTTCAAATGAATTTAGCTAATGTGAAGCTAATTAGAACGACGGAAAGTTTTTAGAAATTCGTTGTAAAATGTTTTATTAAAAACTTGAAGATACGGCCCCAAAATTAAATTTGATGCAGTAACAAAGTATTTTTATTAAAGGAAAAACATACATATTTAGAAACCCATGGTGAAAACAGTGATACATATAATTGTATGCCTATTTGAAATTTCGTCAAAGTACCGTTTAATTTATAATGCAAGCCCTACTCAGTGAAGTTATCTAATGAATGAAAATTTAAGCCAAATTAATGTATTTCTATTACATGTATATTTATAATTTTATATACGTAGCTAAAAAAAAAAATAAACTTACATGCAAAACTAATAAAAATATTTGTATAGCCATTTTTGATATCGAAACAACTTACAAATCTATGTAATTTTTATACTAAGCAGAAAAACATAAAAAAGAACAAATATAAAATGTATTTCGTTAGCAAGTATGCAAAACATGACAAAAATGGTTTGTATGTTATGAAATATATATGTCGGCGTTAGTAAAGAAACTACTTAACTTTTTTTCTGTAGGATAATAAATTTTTTTACATTTATATCATAACAAAACTTAGATATTTTTTTGTTCATGATTTACTTGAATATTAATTCTGGTTTTTACTTTACTATAAAATTAAATGATAATTCTACAGCTTTCTATTTTTAGCCATATTTAATTTTTTATTATTTTATGAGTTTTTTAAATTGACATAATTGTCTTGTTATGAAATTATTCAATAAATGCAATTGTAATTACTTTTCATTCTTTACTTTTCACTGTAGTATATTCATTGATAAAATAAATTTGTTTCAAAGTTAAGACAAACAAATTGCTTTCCTGCCGATTTTCAACTAGGAACAGGTCCCAAAAATATGAACAAGGTAAAAACTACATAAATATGTATTAAATGTATATTTACATAAATATTATAAGTAGAGATGAGTGGTGATTTACACATAAACTTTAAAGTTTTTATAAGTCATATACAACCTAATAAAAAAGAAATTAAAAAAATAATCTTGAAGCATTTATTCATTTTAAATACTTGTAGCTTTAAATAAAATAATCGCCTCTGCATTAGAATATGCGAATGCATTTGGTTTCTATATACAATGGTCCAAAAATGAACTCGGACACACAAGTTATATGATTTTAAACAAAAACAACAAAAACCATAAACTAAATTCAACTCGGTCATATAAAAATAATATGAACATAACAACTTAAGAAAACTGATGACAAAAAAGTACTCGAACATATACATAACATAGAATTTAAAAATATTATTTAAAGAGAAACAAAATTTTCCTCTCCTCCTCTTAGGTCTTTCTTATTTCTAATAACATGCATTTTCAGTTTATTTTCCAAATGAGCCCACAGATGTTCAATAACGTTAATGTCGGGAGATTGAGGAGGTGTTTAGGACAGTTATACATCAACCATAGACGGACATCAAGTGCTTTATGCTTGGGATCGTTGTCTTGGTAGTACTGGAAATTGTCTTTGATTCCCAACTTTTCCGCACTTTGCACTAGATTTTCTTTTAAAATGGTCAGATATTGCTTGTGGTCTATATTATCCAATACCAGCTGAGGACATACAACCTCAAACCATTACTGAGCCGCCCCCGTGTTTAACAGTCGGACGTAAATTCTTTTCTAGCAACTCTTCATTCGGTTTTCTCCAAACATACGACTGTCCATCTCACCTAAATATATTAAATTTGCTTTCATCTGCAAATAAAACTTGTTTCCAGAATTGAAAATCCATATCCCCATGACATTTTGCAAATTTTATCCTTTTGTTTCGGTTAACCTTGTTTATAAATGGTTTCTTCCGTGCTACTCTTAAATTATAAGTATTTTTTCATAAGACTATTCGGATACTCTCCGGATTAAAATTTATATTGAGATGTTGCAAAACTTCTGTTAAGAGCTTGGGAGCGCTCATGTTTGAATTTTTTTAATTGATTAATTGTGGGATTCCCCTTTTTAAAATGCCCAGCAACTGTAATATTACCAGATGTCCGACTTCTTTTTTGGCCAAATTTCTAGCATGCCGCATGTTAATTTTTTGAAGTAAGGGTATAGGAGACCTATAAACTATTGGACTTGTTTGTTATTGGTATTTTTTAAATCCTTATTGGATACCCTATAGAACTATAAAAAACAAAAATGCTTAATTTCAATTGGTTAAAAAAAGATCTAGCTTGAAGTTGCATGTTAAACAGTGGAATGTATGTCCGAGTTCTTTATTGAGCCACTGTACATACTTACGCTTTTGTTAAAAAACGCATATTGTAACGATTTGCGCAAAATAAGCTTCGATTATTTCCAATATTCCTCGAGTTCGATCACTGTTTGTTAAGTAAAAATCCCAAGATTTAGCTTCTTTATTGTAAGCACACAGATTACTATCTATTTTGTGAACACACAGCTACTAACTATGCAGTTTCCTATAAATACACAATTAATTCTCTTGTAAACTCTGCTTTGTCTTACACCAATGTTTAACTACCGAGTTCCAAAGTCAATTGAACATGCCGCCAGTTCGCGCTTCACCCTTATACACCTACTGTTTTTCATCAATCAACTCTAGATGATTATGTTTGAATGTTGTTGATAATAATAATACTTTGAACAAATCTGGCAAAACGCGGCATGCTATAGAGCTAGTATATCGAATGCTTGGTATCGACAACAGACACACATACCCTTCTTGAGACGCATGTGAGAAATCGTCATCGAGACTTATGCTGCAACTACATCTTTTACATAATATCTGTCCATAACACCCGACTAGAAGAGCGAGGTATGTTCACGAGTTATCAACGCTACTGAGAGCGGCGAACATGTGTTTGCACACTTTTGAACAAATTCATAATATTCGTCAACGAATTTCATAATTTATATGCTTGAATATAAACACAAGACAAATATACATGATCTATATGGTAACAAATAATTAGTTATGAACAAAACTACGCATTATCTTCGATTATTTAATGTTACTTTAAGAAAGACTATACTGGCAACCTTCTGTAGCAACGAGAAATGGCCGGTTTTACGGAAAAAATCAAATCACTGCTGGTTTCTGCGGGACAACCGTCACTAACAGCATGGGCAAGCGGTGACAACTTTGTGTTCACATGGCGCTCTCATAAGATTGGTGACTATGGACGGCTGGTACGTGAGTTGAGTAGTTGCAGCATTGGATGGGTAGTTGCAGCATTACTTAACAAAATCGTAACAGTATTTAGATAAATTTATTTATTTAATCATTATATAACAGCTGGCAGCACCACACATTTTCCCGTATGTCTCTCGATAAATCCGGGTTTTTGCCATGCCATTTCCGTTGATTTGTTTTGTCAAATGAAAACATCACACCATCAGTCACATTTTGACATTTGCTACAAATAGTTTGAAAATTTTTTTTGTGATTTCTTAGAAATGCACCAGCTTAATATAATCAATATGGTGAACCATCCGTAAAAAATAATATTTGAATATTTTAAAATAAAACTACGCATGAAGGAAAATATATGCAAGTTTGCAAAGCAGCTAAAAAATACCAGCATATATGAATTGAAAAATAATAATTACATAATTAAATAGGATATTATATAAACATGCAAGAGGCAGTGAAATTACAATTAAGTTTAATTGAAGTTCGAAAAAATAACTATTTGTCAGCGATTGTGTAATTTTTCTGCGTCTGAATAAAGGGATCGATGAAAGTTCATCGTCAGCACAGAGGCAAAGGCGAATACGAGTTGTGAACAAAGTTGACGGTCAATATACTCTGACCGAATTATTAAACTAAACTAAAAAAATTTTATGAATTGTCTACTTCACGAGAAAATGTTTAGCAGTCATACTACACATAAAATAATTATTTCACTGAAAAGCGAAAACGGCAGCTTTTTAGTCAACATAAACGAGATCAGTGCAAGAACTGAATCTAGCAGCTTAGCGGAGCAGTTACGCACTAAAAACAAGGAGTTTCTTTGATCAAACGCAATTTGAAAAACGTATTTTAAATCCTATCTTTTAGATAGTTTCACATTCATAAACAAGTAGAATTTAAAGATCGCTGCTGGTACAGCTATTACGCCAAAGAGCTATGAAAAATTGACGTAAGAATAGAATAATCAATTAATTAGAGGTAATATTTTGTGTGACTGAAAAAGAAAATTGATTGTAGAAAGTGTGAAAAATATCTAATAGTCTCATTTGACATATAAAATGGAAAATACGAAATAATGACCAACCAGGGAAGTTTATTATCTGCTTATTAAGCGGTCTTACAAAAGGATTTAAGGATAAATAAATATATACAGTTTGAATATATTTTTCTAAGTCAAGTGCCCGTTCGGGTTACGAAATCGACAAAATTACCGACGACAGGCAAAATTCCTCTGAAGGTACAGTACTTGTGTCAAAGAGCCCAGCACATAAAGAAGAGACAGAAGAAATGGCTACAATAAATTCAAAGTCTTCGAAGTTTGGAGGCAAACTAAATTTAACATCTCATGTAAAATATGAGCATTTAATAGCTGGCATTTCTGGTGGCGTTACTTCAACATTAATTTTGCATCCCTTGGATTTAATAAAAATTCGCTTTGCTGGTAAGTGAAACTGATAAAATATATTAAATTAACTGTTATAAATACTTTCCAAAGAATTTCAACATGATGAACTAATCAGTCAAACCTCGTAAAATATTATTTAAAAACAATTAAAATCTCTAAAATTTAAACAATGATTAAAATGAGTTCAATAATATTCTACCGGAAACTTTTATACGTTACGTTGCATATGTATAATGTAAGTAATCCATTGAACCGCAGGAAGCGAATACATTGTGCTGCTACCAGCAGGAAAAGCTTTTTCGCACTATCACAGATTTTTTGTAGACATAATGCAAATAGTGATAAGAGTACAACATAATACCCATACACGTGTGACAGACCTGATTTTGTGATAGTGAGTTTTTTTCCACTGCCCTTATCATGGTCAATTGTTTATTGCGTACGTATCGCACTTATTAAAATCAACAAAACCGCAATTATTGTTAATTTTTCAATGCGAAAAAAAACTGAAATACTAGATAATAAATTGTTAAAGATTTTAACGTCCCGGATATGGCCTGATTCTTACCTACATGAGCATGAAAATATATTAATTACAATTTCTTGATAAAAGATGATATATGAATTCTATTCTAATGAAAAACAAAGAAAAAAACAGGACGACTTACTATACATGTATAAATTAAAATTAAAGCTCAAAAATTTTAAAGCAAATAACAATGATGTTAAAACGAATGTCAACATGGTGAACTAATCGGTCAAACCCGGTAAAATATTATTTAAAAACAAATAAAATCTTTAAAATTTAAATAATAGGGGGTGTTATAGAAACCGACACAGAATTGCTTATTTATCGGAATTCAAAATCAATATCTGTTTGAAATGGTGTTATGAAACCGACTTGATTTTGCTTTTTTCGGAGATAAGCAAAACCGACAATCGAATCAGCTGTCATCACACTTGTGCAAAAAAAAAAGCATTTTAATTTAATTTTTTTACAGGTATTAACACATTTGATATTATTAAAAAAAAATGAGAAATGATCCAGAAAATAAAGCGCAAAATTGTATGGGAATCAGAGTAATCCGCTACCAGAGTCGAAATAAGTGCCATTTGCATTCTACTTTTACATTTGTTGATGCAAAATTTGTTTGTATGTATTTCATAGATCAATATCGTCTTCACAAAGAAGCCTTTGGCATAGGGCTGGATGTCATTGAAGACCAGTTAGATAAGCTGTCTGTCCCACATGTGCTCCAACTTTCAGCCGCACTGCGGTTTTTGGCAGAAGGCTCCTATTAACAGTCTGTGGGACTCAAACATCTCGTTAGCGCGACCTAGAGTCTCTGAGGTTATAACAGAAATGCTAAAGGCTTCTAAACGAACATTTTAATCAATGTGTAATGAAAATTTTTTTATATTTTGTGTTTAATTCTTTTGTGTGTAAATAAAATATTCAAATTTTACTAGCTTCCGTGAGAATTTTTTTACGGTAGTTATTAATTTAAAATTTTACGTTTAATTTTAAATTGTATATTCATTGTTTCATTTAAACCAGATATTCCTTTCGATCATACTTGTGTACGCACCGAAGTTAAGAATCCACACAAAGAATAAAAGGATAAAGTTTCGTATGCTTATCAAAAGACAAGACATGCCAAACACAAGTACTCTGCCATTGAGCATCAATTCCCACATACATTCATTCATATATCAGTATTTATTTACTTGATACGATCTATGTTGTATGTGCACTTTTTTTTAGCTCGTCACTAAGTGCTTTCAAAATCATTTGCAAATGGTTCGTAAGCATTAGAAACGTTTTTCTTTGTCTGGTGCTACAAACGTTGTTATGATGACGGTGCAAGATGGAATGAATTAGGCATTTTTCAAATAGTGCAAAAGTAAAACTGAAAAACGGAGATGTTTTCAGATGCTGAAAACGTGAATATCTTTATTTCTTCTCCCCATATATAACAGACAACATTACTAAACTCATTTATTTCCCGTAGGCTGTTTGCCCCGAATGTTGCTTGATGAGTTGCTAAATAAATTAAACATCGATCGTTTGATTTACATAAACATTAGTAAAGCAGTTTTGGGCCCAAATTACCATTGTGAAACTTTTTTTGCGGCATGTTGCCTGGGATCGATTCGATGGTTCGGCTTTGCTTAATATATAATAGTTATAATAAAGTTAATAATACATTAAAATTTAATAATTTGCCCATTGCCAATTATGCTGCGAAATATCGAAAGTAAGGTGCATTGCTTTGTACTAATGAAGCTCGAACTACAGTTTTTTGTAACTCGCCATTCAGCAGGCTGGAGACGTGTTCCTTCCATAAATTCAGTGTACTTTGGGCATCCTAAAAGAGTTTGCTCCAATCTTGAAACCTTCCGTATGTCGCCGTATTTTTTTTGTATAATTTTCGAGCAATAAACCAGCCAGCCAGTTTCTTAATCTCTACATACTCACACATTTTGCCTTCTTTCTTTTTTCTTGCAAATTCGTCTTGGTTCCCTTTTCATCTCTTGGTATCTTGAGAGGTAGGCAGCCTTTCTTTTCACCACTGCACGGTCGTCCACATATAGTACCAGCTGTTTCTGCGACCTTTCCGATAACCAATAGTATCGATGGCAGCTGAACGAAGCAAGTTTGAAATTCGATCTCATAGTTTTCTTATAACGAGTTGGTGATCCGTGCTCTTTGAGAGCAGGAGGTCAGGCAAATAGAAAACCGTTCCTCAGAGTGGAAGAACACTGGATACATGATCACAACATGATCGATATAGTTTGGGTTAAGGCTGAATTTTCCTACAGTTGTGCCTAAAACATCCTCTTTGCCCACCCTGACGTTGAAGTTGAAAAGTACAGCGTTTGCTTAAGACTTTTATCAAAGGTATCCCTTGTCACATCATCCTTCTTTTCCATTGTGGCGTGGACGCAAGTAGCGTTGTGTTGAAAAATTTCAAATGCTAGTAGTCGGTGTTTCGTTTGTCACTTCGTACTTCTCTTTCGGCAAATTATTTTTGGGTTGGAATCATTCTATTAGGCTCAGGGGGTTTCCATCTCACCTAATTTATTGGCAGCAGTGCCAAGACGAACGCCACAAATCGGATGAGGAGCTCTGTTCAGCAGTTCTAGTGCTACATTTATTTTATTATTATACCTGCCTTTTACACGTTAAAAATGTAAACATATTTTAACCTAACAACGTTCCGAATTTTAAAACTTCAAATTTTCAGCTTTATAAAATTTGTAAAATAGGGCTGTTAACGAAGTTGCTACAATGTCGCTCCTTGGTTCTAATTTTTCAAAAATGCTAATGGAATTGCTTATAAATTTTCTTAAATTTTTTGTTCACAATAACCAAAAAGCAGGTAAAAAAATGTGCGAAAATCTGTTTTTATATTAAAATTAACAAATAAAGTGCGTTCGTTGGAAATTTTGATAAATTTAAACGTGTTTTTATATTATACACGTACATTGCTTATACATCACAATTAACGGAAACATTTTTAAACTTTGCAGTAAATGATGGACGTACGACAACTGTCCCACAATATAGCAGTTTGAGCAGCGCATTCTCGACCATTCTTCGTCAGGAAGGATTTCGTGGACTGTATAAAGGTGTTACACCCAATATTTGGGGTTCAGGGTCTTCTTGGGGTCTGTATTTCATGTTGTGAGTATATTTACATAAAATTATTATTATTATTTTTGTATATATTTATAATTATTTTTAAATAACTCTAGCTACAATACGATAAAGACCTTTATTCAGGGGGGTAATGCCACGCAACCATTGGGTCCGACACTGCACATGTTGGCCGCTGCGGAGTCTGGTGCGCTTACTCTCGTACTTACAAATCCAATTTGGGTGGTAAAGACACGTTTGTGCTTACAATATGGCGCAGAGACTTCAAGCTGTAAAGCAACACAATATCGTGGAATGGTAGATGCGCTGGCGCAGATTTACCGTAACGAGGGTGTGCGCGGATTATACCGGGTAAGTTTGAATTTTGACATATTTAGATATTTTGTATGAATAACAATTAAATATTTATTTATTAATAGGGGTTTGTACCCGGCATACTTGGTGTTTCACATGGAGCATTACAATTTATGACCTATGAAGAGATGAAGAACTACTATAATACGTATCGTAAATTGCCGATTGACACCAAATTGGTGAGTGTTAAATAAGATTAATATAAAATTTTAAACGAACAACTAAATAGTATTTTCTATTGGACTATCGACTGCTGAGATCTTTAAATCTCGAATATTCGAATTAATGTCCTACAACTCTCTAACAGTACATGTTATTTTGGATTTCATAATATAACGATTAAATTTGATTAAATATGTATGTATGTAAATATCGGTGCCGGCACCGCTATTACAAGATTTGCCCGCGGCCGCATGTATTGAGCGTGTATGAGTTTCAAATATAACTGTATTTATTTCGCGGGTCTTTCTAGAAAAAAATTGTTTGTGGCTTATTCTTCGTCAATTTTTATGTGCCAAAAACGTAAAAACAAGTGTTTTATTTTGCTATTTAATAAAATCGAGATAGTTGTGGAAGTGTAAATTTACAAAAATTTATATATGTATATTTTGGCCGCTTCCTATAAAAAAAATATATTGAGAAATGAAAATTTAATTATTTAGAAAATATATATTGTACATACATGTGTATGTAATGTATGTTTATTAAAAATTTGTTCAAATATGTATATTTGGGACTACTTCACTCCAAATTCAAAGCAGTAACGATTAATTATTTTTTAACTTGCCGTCAGCTTAGGTTGTACATATGTTTATTAAATTTGAAAAATATTTTAATCTTAATTTATTTAATACCTTATACGCACATATATTAATTATCTTACAGGCTACGTCGGAGTATTTAGCATTTGCGGCCATATCGAAGCTTATCGCCGCTGCAGCAACATATCCCTATCAGGTGATACGTGCTCGTCTGCAGGATCACCATCTTAACTACACGGGATCTTGGGATTGCATTAAACAAACATGGAGGTACGAACGTATGCGTGGTTTTTATAAAGGTCTAGTACCATATTTAGTCCATGTAACACCCAACATTTGCATGGTCATGCTTATTTGGGAGAAATTGACCAATTAAAAATACAATAGAAATAAAGGGTACAAAAGCGTTGAAGAGCACAAATAAAATTATTAGATATAAATGTAATTAATTTACGCAGCGACTTTCTTAATAGAATGCAACTTTTAGAATAACATTAGCTCATATAACGTAAAAATCGAATATTCAAACAAAAATTTTTCTGCATAACATATGCATGTACATAGATCTAGGGACTTCAAGAAGAATTTTTTATCAAAAGTATATCCTAATATCTCTTAATATATGCATGTAGTATTTATTATGTCACCAAGAATAAAGTTTGGAAAAAACAGTTCGTAAAGCCATTTTTTTTAGTTCCGATAATGTGTGCAGTAGGCCTGGAAAAACCTTTCGTCACCAAAATATTTGTATATACATATGAACGAAGACAAAGTGTATATATCCTTTTAATAAAGCTTAATAGTGCAAACTTAAAAAAAGATTAACCATTAATATCAACTGTAAATACTTGCTACGCTTAAAACATATTTTACTGCATTGTTTGTAGCCGAATTGTCAATAATTTATGGAAATATTTATTACACTTTTCTTGGCCTATAATTTCAGTAAAACTTTCCTTATACAATCTACTTTTGTAACTGTTTATAAACTTTTATGATGAATAATTTCTATAATATTTGGATGTTGGTCGGGCCAAAAATTGCACCCTGGCCTTCCAAATAGCATTATAGAAAGAAGACCAAGATTCGGTTCCTGGTTCGACAAACATCCAAGTTATAAAAAATTAGTGTGTTTCTGTTATGAATATTAAAGCTCTTCATAAAAATTCATCGGCCGTTCTGAAAGCGGCTTAGAATAAACTGTAGGTCCCTTCATTTGTTGGAAAACCCTCAAGACGCGTGCAAATTGGAGGAAGAGCTCGGCCGGAAATCGCTTCAGCGATTACAAAGCGCCAAGTAAACATATGTATGTTGAATATTACAATAGCTTGTTGTTATATATATTAGTTCATAAGTCACTCCAAGTTTGCTTACAAAAAAAATCATTTCATCAATTTATTAGTCATAATTGTACGATAAATTTACTATAAACCAGCCTATTTCCTATTTTAATAATCAAATAGCTGCATTAATATTTATTATATATTGCCGAAAAATGGGATATTTGACGGGTAATAAAAGAACAGTAGCAGGATTTTTTTCTTACTAGAACTTATAGCCAACATCGGGGATTATAAGTATAAGTTAAAAGTATTTAACGGTATTTTTTGGAAATAACGTAAAAATATTAACACATCCAATTAAACTTGTCTGTCTTGGATATTATATCCACATTCAATTGAATTTAAGCATAGTATTAGAAAAGCTTAATATTTGAAATCATAGTTATAAGCAATTAATTCATTTGGCAAAAAGATTCTTCGTAACTATTTATGTAAAAAATATGTAATACTATATTACAAATGCAAGATAAAAAGTAAAGTATGTTAAAAAGGTTTCGTAAAAGCGTCATTATAAAAAAGGTTTATAAATTTATAATTGAAGGTTTTAAACTTCGGCGACCCTACCCTTTCTATTTTGCCTGCCGTGAGTTTGTGTCGGGTTTGTTAAAAAAAAAAAATTTAACATGATTTCGATCACATATCTCTTTTTCACGGTCTATTTAATGAAAACCTATCTTAAGTAAGCAGCTCACGAAACGAAGTAAGTAGTGTGCCCGTGCTTTCTAACAAACGGGCAAGTGTGTTTTGAAGCAATTAAAGAAAGAGTAAGTCTTAAACAGTTTTGCAGAATCTATTTGCTAATTGAATGAAAAAGTCGTATTTAAATAACTAGCACCTTCGCTAAAGGTAAGCGTTTTTGTCCACTGTTTGTTAATTAATCTCTGCATTTTATTTTTTCTCTAAATAATTACAGATTTGAAGGCATGACTGGTTTTTACAAGGGTTTACAAGCCAGTTTGACTCGAGTGGTGCCAGCGACGATGATAACATTTGTTATGTACGAAAAAGTATCTCATTATTTGCTGCAAAAATCCAGGGATAAGTGATATATATTTTGAGTCGATCCAGGAACAATATTTACATTTACCAAAAACTAAGAAATTTCCACGCTTTGAATGGCCGCGTGTATTAATTTATTTTGCTATAAATAAGTATGTAAATTAATTAAATTATAATATTATGTATTACTTTTAATTTTAATTTAGATACTTATATATTTGATAATTTGCAGGGCAATACAAATGTAGTAGAGTTATTTTTTCTTAGAAATCATACATTCTGAATTATGTATATTCATTTTTTTGTTATCCTTTCTTGATATAAGTGTTTATTGTAATATTACTTATTGCCATGAATTATGAATGCGCTTTTGAAAGGACAATCAACCTTTAATAAAACCATTCTCTATGTCAGTCACGTAAATGTTAAGTTTTATTTTTACAATAACGCACACTTTTTTAATGCGGCACAACTTAAATAATTCAATGAAATTTTTTAATTTTCGATTTTGTTTGTCAAAATTTCTTTGGTATTTCAATAAGTTCTTAACTTCACAAAAAAATGTTTAAAATTTTGCTATTAGCATAGAGGGATAATCTCCATTGAAGTGATCAATTATATTATTAAGTACAGATGTATTATATAATTTCCTTTAAAAATTTACTCTTTTTAAATTTAACATTATTATTGGTCTAATGTTACTTTTATTTTGAAAAGTAACAGCTACATATGCATTTACGAGGTGTGAACAGAAAATATCCGTTATTTTCGATTTTCGCTTTTTCCCTGTTATGTTGGTATACATTTCTGTTATATATGTTCGCATTATCAGCCATTTTGAATTGTCAGTTTGTTTTTGACAGTTAAAAAAAGATTAGTCGTGTTTTGGTGTACTTTTCGATTTTTATTATTCCAAAAGATGGATCAATGAAACTGTATTAAGTTCTGTGTAAAAAATGAAATTAAATGCGCAAGGACATTTGAAATTTTGACTGTGTGCATTTGGCGAGTCTACTATTAGCAGAACACAAGTTCAATTGTGGCATAACCGGTTTAAGGAAGGCCGAGAAGGCGTCAGATACAATGCTCGTCTTGGTCGCCCGAGTACGTCAACAACCGATGAAAACATTGAAGCAGTCACGAAAATGATTTTGGATAGTCGTCGAATCACTATCAGAGAGGTTGCTGATGATGTTGGCATATCGAAGAAGAAGTTATGCGCCATTTGCGCGAAGCAATTGGTAAGAAACGCACAGAATTGTGGAAAAAACAATCATGGATTTTGACCCATGATCGACGCTTGTGCGTACGTTTCATGCCTCAACCACCGTATTCACTGCACTTGGCCCCCTCATATGTATGTAAATGCTAAGATTTCTGGCTAGTCATGTGCATATTACTTACATATGTATGCTCATATGCATGTGCCTAGCATCTGTTGTTTTTCTGTTTTTTTACATTCTACCGCATATGATACCATTTCGCGAAGTTACTATTATTATATACATGTTATCAAGTACCGCTGTTGGCGTAGACGCTGGCGCTGGCGCAGTTCACACCGACTGACGGTTTGCTTTCTCATTGTGGCGCATAGCTGAGCCAGAGAAGGTTGACCGTCGCCCTTTGCCTGCTCTATTGTGTTTTGCGCGGCTCGAGTTTTTGACAGAATTGCTGGGTACTACTGGCTACAATAGCTACATGTATATGTAAGTATGTAAATTTAAGAATATACAATACCTATACATATGTATTTATATATATATGTACTTGTGTTGAACGCGATGGACGTGTTGTCGCAGCGCTATTATGTTGCCTAATTAGTAAGTGAACTGAGACAACTGCGGCTGGACGTGGGCGCAGCTTTGAGACTTTCTGTTTCTGAAATTATTATTTTATCTACATATCATATGCATAAAGTGCTAAGAACTATTTACGTTTTTTGATAAACTTTATATGTGATTTCTGTGTTTCTCAATTGCAAAAGTGTGTAAAAAGTTAACTGAAATATAGAGCTTGATTTCGTTATGGGTGGTGAATGTGCAGCGCAAAAAGGATAAAGAAAAATAAATCAAAAGCTAGACAAAGCTAGCTAAAGCCGGTTCGTATGTATTTTATTATGTTTTATTGCACCTACATATGTATACGTAACTATGCATAGGTGTACTTAATTAAAGCAATAGTGTACATTGCAGCACTTTGAAAGAGTTAATTTTTTATATTTTTGTATACCAGAATTATTTTTCCCAGCTGTGTTCGGTAAAAAAGGCAGTAAGAATTACCGAGTAACAAAATGTCAAAATTGCGCTCTCTTAGTAGAAATTTTACTGACTTTTTGCCTTGTCGAACGCGGTTCAGTAACATTTTTTATTGCCTAGCACCTCACCAACCGCTCTGATTATTTACAGTTACTCTGGTTAAGAGTATACTGTGAGCTTTTTGAAAATTGTTTTTATGTACATACAAACACGACGATAGTATCTTGGTATTTACGTGAGCCAACGAAAAACACAGCGCGTCAGCAGCTACAACCTATCATATGAGCCATATAAATGGCGATGCCGTTACCAACGTTCGTATTGGACTTTGAAAAAAATTTTACGAGGGTGTTCTAAGCTTAGAAAAAAATTCCTTTTAAGGGCGAGAGTGGGTCATGTATATCCCGTGATAGCCGTTCACCGAGATAGCATACAGTTTTCCAGTAACATGTTTTTAGAGTTTCACTGTTGGCCGAACGAAATTGTCGAATATTTGCATAAGCCAATATGTTTACGAAGCACATAAATATCAATTAAAGTAATGAATAAAAACAGTTATACCGATTTCATTTAACTAATTCTATCATTTCAGCATTATTTTATATAACTTTCAAACAAAATAAACGCGTTTGACCATTTGCTAATTTTAGTAAGTAGAAAGAAGTATAAATGACAGCTAGAGACAGTAATATCACATTGCTATTCTTCTCAAGAGTAATAGTCCAACTAACCATTTTACATGCCACCCAACCGTATCTTCCAACTGAAGAATATGAGTGAGGATAAATCGCATCATTACAAGTAGATAACGTACTACATGTTTGGAGGCAATTACCATCACAGCACTCCTTCTCGTCTGTCTTTCGTCAATGCCTTCGTAAATAGCAAACTACATAAATGGAAACAATCGCCTTATTTTCTTTATTTCTCGTTTTGTTTTTGAAGCAGTAAGTTTGTATATTTTTGCATATTCTATTTCGTACGAATTTCGATAAAGAGGCATATGTAAGTAGTTAACGTATTTTAATTGTTGCTAATATAAGTTTTGTTTGGTGACTATATGGGCAGAAACAACTTTTACTGAACTTTACTGAATCATGTTCGTTGAGCCAAAAACGGATTGAAATTACTATCGAGAGAGGGCAATTTTGGCGTCTAGTGTTTAGGCAAATATGCTGAGCAAATTTCAGCCAGTAAAAACTAGTAGGTATAAAAAACAGCTGATTTGTGGTCATATGATGGAATTTTTGTGAACAAACTAAAATGTATTTAAAATGAAAATAATAATAATTCTCTAATATGAATGATAAACTAAAACAATAAGTGTCCAAATGTAATTTTGTTGAAATAAATTGAATGATATCAACGATCCAAAGGCGGTAATGCATTTTTAAGCTTTTGGAAACGACAACGATCCTCAAAATGAAAGATTAGTCGCATTAAGGGACAAACTTGTTATTCTAAGTTGCCGAGGCCATCTAAACGAGCTCTTTCGACGGGCGTCTCGTTCGTCTCCGGTGCCTTGTTCGGTGCAGCAGCAGACTCCCAGTAACTTTGGGTTATTTACCTTCATATAAAATTCGAGCCTGTATTCCTTCGTCATGTTTCTGATAAAGGTAGCCGAGTATTTGGTCGGTTTTATTTCATGATACCGTGCAGTGAAGAACTGAGATAGGTTGTCGAGACAGTCGGTCACTTTCGAACAAAGATTATGGGCATGTGAGGTCAAGAAAACACCTTCTAGTGGAGGAAACGCTTCGAAATATAGAAGTTGAACAATAATGGGGAGAGGACACCACCCTACGGAACCTTTGTTTAATCTTCCTTATTTTGATGATTGTCCTCAAAATTCTCTTCAGTTAGCCCATGATCCACCTGTTCAACCCCGGCGGTAATGAGGATTCCTCAATGTCCGATAGTAGCATTGAAAAGTTTTGAAAATTCCAAAGCTACCAATAAACTATAATAATTAGCAGTTAATATTGCCGGCTTACATGGCAAAATAATTCCAAACTCATTTAGCATTGCATACTGCCATTCGGAAGGCTCGGGCTCTAGTCCTGGTGTCGTTCTAACATCCAAAAATTTTATAGAAAATTAATTAAGTTAAGTTGATTTTTCCAATTGCGGTCCCCCTTGAACAGGGAATGTCAACCCCTCCGAGTGTATTTCTGACATGAAATAAAGCCCCTAACAAAAACCATCAGCCGTTCAGAGGCGGCTGAGTATAAACAGTAGGTCCCTCCATTTGTTGGAAAAACAACGACGCAAAAACCGAAAATCGCTTCAGCGCTTACAAAGCCCTAATTATATACAGGATGCGCCATCTATATGTGGTCAATGGAAACATTGAATAACTTTGAGGGGATATCGACTGGCTACCAAGCCTGCAGCAGAATTTCTCTTGTGAAACTTTTTGAAAAGCAAAGTGTATGCCAACAAACCCAAGACTTTGGATGAGCTGAAGAAGAACATACCAGCTGAAATCGCTGCCCGAGATGCTGGCAAATGTCATGGTAAATGCCGAAAAAAAAACGAAGTTTTGTTTGTGCAAAAAATTGTAAGGCTTTAAATTTGATAATAAAAAATGTTTATCAAAATTCATTGAAAATTGTTCAAGTTATTCAACATTCCTATAGTTCTATAGACATTAAATATTTCATAAAATATTTATATAACATTTTTAATTTTTATTGCAGAGCGTTTAATCCATTAATAGCCCAGTCGAACTCCTACATACATACACATAAGTATATGTATGTACATATGTATGAATGTGCCCAAATAATAGAATGGCAAGAATTTTAAAAGCAACAGCCGACAGATAACAAGGTGTTTAGACCTTGATAACTGCAAATAATTGGTAAATTAAACCATTGCATCGATTTAAAAAAATGGAGTCTTTGAACCCGAAAAAGTGACATATGTATAGAAATGTGCATTCAGACAAATATATGAAGTAACATATGTATGTATACTTCAGAAATTATTTAAAAACTTATAGTCTGTAAAATAAAAGCAGGGCATTTTGTTAATATTATTCAAAACAATACAATATATATTGGCAATCAAAATGAAGTGTGAATCATTTATGGAATAACTTATCGAGAGTGAAAGAGAATATTAATAGTCAAACGACTCCCTCCTTTCTCTACAGAATCTAAATAC